TTCTCAGTGTGATAAAGGGCAACAATTTGAGAGGGCATGACACTATGCATCTTTCCACACTTTAGAAGTATTTATACCACAGGTTGTTTTCTGTGGTGCATACTTAACATGGGAGTCTACTCTGAAAAGTGACTATGCATACAGAGGCCATTTTCATAGGCAGGAATGGTCAAATGATTAAGAAACTGAAATTGTTTGAAAACTATCCATCATTTTCCATCACTGACCCCAACAAGGAGAAGAATATGAAACTGAGATATAAATATTTGTCATCAAAGCTAGTGTATAAAATACACGAGCACTTCTGACAAGAAATATATGTCAGCACCAGTGACAGGTAGATCTTTATGAATAACCTCTTTTGACAGAGCAAACCCTATGAGCAGCTCCAATTAGGGAAACCTTCATGTGTAAGGCCTTATGACAAGCAGAAAGTTTTATTATGCAGAGCTGACAATTTATCAGCATTAATATAAAATCCATTAAAAGTAGCTCGGGATCTACTGGTAGATCTTGGAACCTTTGACGGGTGATACTGACTGGTTTGGTCAGGAGGCTGTCAAGTGCCAGCACTTCATCTGCCCCAAGCACTGCCATGCTTCTCTGGCCCTCTGCCTTGGAGCTTTTTTCTCGTTGTGCAGGGCACAGGAAGAACAGGAGGGGGTGCTGATGTCACAGTGCCCCCCCATCTCCACAGAGCAGAAGGGGGCAGGGATGGAGACAGTTTGCTGCCTGTTTTGGGGAGTGGTGCAGGGCCGGGGAGAAGTGAGCCTGCCTTAGCTTCCTGCACCACTACCCAGCAGCCACCTGTGGTAAATGGTGCCCAGCTGGGGCCTGCATTCCAAACCCTGGCCTCAGTCCTGACCCCCTCATTCACCCTAAACCCTTGCCCCAGCTCTGAGTCCCCCTGCACCCAAACTCCCTCTGAGAACCTGCACCCTGCACCTATGGTGCACCTCAACTCCCTCCCCCATGCTCAGCCCAGAACCCCTTGCCACACTCCAAATCCTTTAGCCCAAGATCAGAGCCCACATCCCCCTCCCTTGCACCCCAGTCCTCTACCCCCAGCCTGATAAAAGCGAGTGAGGGTTGGGGAGGGAGGATGGAGTGAGCAGGGGTGAGGCCTTGGAGACAGGGCGGGAAGGAGGCAGGGCAAGGGTGTTTGGGTTTGAGGTGGATCCTGGATTGCACTTAAATTCAAAAAGTGATCTCATGCGACCACTGACATATAGCAATGTAACCAGTTGGGGCAGTAGGGGTCTACAGAAGCTGCAGCTGTGCCTCTGTAGCATTTTAAGTGTAGCCATAGCCTAAGGCTGTTACCCGGGGCCCCCAGATAAGTGGTGTGAGGGGGCCTGGCTCTGCACCCCTGGAAGGGGAGAGGCCTTGGGGAAGGGGCAGGGCTTTGGGGAAGGGATGGGTCCGGGGCAGCCAGCCCTCAGTGCCACCCAGCTCTCCGTTGCTCTGGCAGCAATTTAAAGGGCCAAGGGCTCTGGCTGCTGCTGCCACCAGAGGGTCTGGCTCTAACCCAGGCTGCTTTATAATGTTGATTTTGAACGCTGATATAGAATCATAGAAGATTTGGGCTGGAAGATACCACATGGGGTCATCAAGTCCAATCCCCTGTTCAAAGCAGGACCAACCCCAACTAAATCATCCCAGCCAGGGCATTATCAAGCTTGGCCTTAACAGCTGCTAAGGATGGAGATTCCATCATCTCCCTAGGTAACCTATTCCAGTGCTTCACCACCCTTCTAGAGAAGTTTTTTCCTAACAGCCAACCTAATACCATCAAAAATGAGATGCTGAGAAATTTTTAAATAAACTGAATCCTTTTTAGATTAAATACCTTAAAATGGATCCTTTTTGACTACAGGCAGTCCCCGAGAATACAGGCAGTCAACACTATGTTCTATCATGGAACCCAATGAAGAAAAGAAATGTGGATGGAAGGCTACTTTTGTCATTGATCTCCAAACCAGTGTGGAATATTTTTCAAAATTAAACAGACACTACCAAAGCTATTCTTTGTTGTGGATAAGAGCAGAGATTATTCAGTTTGGATAGCTTTTCCTGGGCCTAACTTGAAATCATCCCAGGAGATACGTAATAATGTAATGGACATAAACATTGTATATTTAAAATACTTACAAGTCACAAATAACTGAATGCAAGGTGTGTCTGTATCTATACCTTTACATTTGAGGAGCTGACCCAGGAACAAACTGGAACAAAAGGTTTAGTTTCTCAATAGATTACATTTTGATTGAAAATATTGTGGATAAGAAAACAATACAGATGAGAAATGGGAAGAGGGATCTGGATAAAGGAACTGATCTGGATGAGTGGGTCTTTATATGGGAAAGGGTATAGACATCTTCAGTTTGTGTACCTCATATAAATGTGTATATACTACTGTAAAGGTTGAGGTGGGCAATGAGAGGCCTGCAGGTCAGACAAGGTTCACCCTGCAGGCTGCCACTTTATTTACCTGCACATCTCCAGATACAGCTTCTCATAGCTCCTGTTGGCAGGCCTGGATTTTGGGCAAGGCGAGCGAGGTGGTTGTCTTGGGCCCCACGTGTTCAGGGCCCCACAGCTCCACACATTCAGGACTCTGTACTGCCCACCTCCTGACCCCGCCCACCCAGCCACTCACTCGCTGTCCTGACTGGGGGCCATGCAGCTCAGCCACACTGCCTTGAGCCCCACAAATTCTTTGGCTGGGCCTGCCTATTGGCCCCTAAGGAACTGTGGTAAGGTAAAATATGGACTATCCTTAGGAGAGAAAAACTTTCATGCTGGCTACTTGCACAAGAGAACTGACAAGAAGAGGCTAGGTATTTAAAAATTTGGTCACCCTATTTAATGTACGCAGAAGAGGAAAACTCCCCATCCAGCAAGACAGAATCTTCATCCATATTCTTTGAATATGCCCTGGCCCTGAGTGAGTAACAAGTAATGTTGGATGTTAACATTTTACTGCAACTTTGCTTTCAGAAAATGTGTTGGTTTAAAAAAAAAAAAAATCTAAAAGGACACTTCAAAATGTGGTAAAACTTGGATGGCCTCCTCTCTATTCAGCTTACCCTTGCATGGGCTACCTTGGTCCGTGGTGGGTGTGTGAAGGAGAGGATGCTGGCAGAGCTTAGACTCTGAAAAAAACCTTTTCCTTATGCATAGACCAGCACGGCTGAGTTGGCATGGAAGTGGGGAAATCATCTACACTAAGTATAAAGCTCAAGTAACAGGATAACTAGGGACAGATCTCTAAGTCACAATCTAGCTCCTGCTCTGCTCCTGGGACTATGAAAATAAGCACTGACTCTTACTCTGGCTCTGTGATAAAGCCACAATTGAATGCTTAGTGAGACCTCACACTTTTATGGGGGCTGATGCTGCTCTTGTCCAGAAAGGGTAACTGCAACAAAGCAGAATGACTTGCCACAGGAAAGCTGGAAACAGAACCCAAATGAGCGACAAGCCCACTCTGGCACTCCAAGGCTACGTCTACACTGGCATGATTTTCCAAAAATGCTTTTCACGGAAAAGTTTTCCGTGAAAAGCATTTTCGGAAAAGCGCGTCTAGATTGGCAGGATGCTTTTCCTCAAAAGCGCTTTTTGCGGAAAAGTGTCCGTGGCCAATCTAGACACAGTTTTCCGCAAAAAAGCCCCGATCGCCATTTTCACTATCAGGGCTTTTTTGCGGAAAACACTACTGTGCTGTCTACACTGTCCCTTTTGCGCAAAAGTCTTTCGGAAAAAGACTTTTGCCCGAACGGGAGCAGCATAGTATTTCCGGAAAAGCACTGACGATCTTACATGAGATCGTCAGTGCTTTTCCGGAAATTCAAGCGGCCAGTGTAGACAGCTGGCAAGTTTTTCCGGAAAAGTGGCTGATTTTCCGGAAAAACTGGCCAGTCTAGACACAGCCCAAGTGTAGAAGGTGAGGCCTCAAGAGACCTTAAAAATACCTTGCCTTTATACACTTCTGCTTACAAAAACTCCCCAAGGTCACAGATTCACTGGCCCTGGCAGATAGGCTGCCACCATCAAATGAATTAAACCCCTGAAAACCAGGAAGAAACGCTTGAACTTCTTCCTCAGGGGTACCCCCAAGCTCTTTTGCCACAAG